TGAGTTTTTTTTAGGAGAAAGAACTTCAAGTGAACTATGTATCTGTTATCACAGAGTATATATTAAAATTAAAATGTTCTGACCCAGAGAAACTTGGTAGAGTGTTATAATAGTTGCCCTCCAATGAATAAAGAGTTTTAAATTTTTAAAATCATTCTTTAGCTTTTTTCTCCAGCTCTCAAAAAGATTAATTTCATTAGTTGAGACAGCTGTCTTTGTACCCAAGAAGGGGTTCTTATTTTAAATAAATATTTTAGATATGACAATTTTTTCCTCCAGGCTAAAAATAAGACTCCAGTTTGTAGACTTGATGGCTGTTACTTCAATGCCTCTGATCCTTTGCTTCATCTTTCAGCCTGGCACCTTAATACTGGATATGGTATCTTTAATACTATCTTTTTATCCTTGTAAAAAATTCCTTTCAAAAGGACTGGGTTTTTTTTTTTAATCAGACTGATATTACTCATTCTTCTTTTAAGCAAAATTACCAAATTTAATTATTTTTTTTACCAATGGAATTCAGTTATTTTGTGTTATCAGTTTTAGATTAACCAGAACTAACTATATTAAATGGATTGTGTTTTAAATTTCATGACTGAATTAATGGAAAAAAGAACTTTTAAACAAGGGATAGGAATAAAGATAGGGTCTCCATGTATGATTTCATTGATAGAAATTCATTACTAGGAAACTCTATCAATGCATGGTTGCTTTTTCTATTCAAATTATAATATTAGAGTTTGCTAGAGCACTACTGAGAGGGTTAAATGACTTGACCAGGGTCACACAGCCAGTATGTATTGTATGCTGGAATTCAAAGTGAAGTCTTTCTGACTTTACAGCCAGATACCTATGTACTACTTTGTGCTGCTTTTTGGATAGAAGAGTTAGAATGCCTGAGAACTGTGAAGAAACATGTAATTTTATCTTTTAGGAGAAAGGTAAAATGTAAACTAAAAATTTGCATTCCCTTCAAGTTTAACTTGTAGATGTAAGAAAATGTTTTTTACCCTCCAGAAAGTTTTACGCTAGTTTCACCTTTTATATTCTTTTGCAGTTTAAGGTTCTCTATTTTAAAAGTATAATTTAAATGGCAGTTATCTATTTTCATTTGACAGTATTATCTATTACAGACCAGCTAAAACTGAAAATATTTGTTTATTATTAATAGCATTAATTTAGTTCTTTTAAAGTTTGCAAAGTCCTTTACATTCATTATCTCAATTCTCACATCAGCTAATTGCTACTCATTTTGCTATATGAAACTTCAAAAATTATTAAATGATCTGAAACAAAAAGCAGTGTCTTTCTTTTCTGGAAGAAGAAACTATGTAGCATGTATGTCATAGTAGGATATAAGGAAGCATTTTGTAATACTTGAAAAGGTACATTTTACATACTATCACATAGGTATCCTTTAGGTCATGCTTATGGACTAATTCAGGATTATTTTAGACGTCAGTTACAACTTTATTGGTGCTTTTTTGGTAATCGTTTTGAAAATGTTATATACTTATTTGAATAAATCATATTTCTCTTGATTTTAATAAATGTATGTTCCTATAGCTATGTTACAGTTTTGTTATCATGTAGCATATTCTTTTAGTTATCTACTTCGAGTTCCTAGAGTTCACTATAGAAAAAAAAGAAAGATTATTCATTCAACAAATAAACTCCTGTTAAAGTCCAGACACACTTCTGGTAACTGAGTGCTATAGAAAATAATAAGATACTGCCCTTGTTCTTAAATAATTTAATCTAATAGACTGCTAGATAGGTGTTGATTAATGTCATTACTCTAATCTTAAAACTGGAAACTCTTTGAAAATGCACTTGAATCAATCTGCAATGTTTTATTTTATCCCTGTGTTGCTACCATTGTTTTTATTAACCATCATACTTGGCATTACTTACATCTAAATGTCTTACTCTAATAATCCACAAGCTGAAAACTGAAATGCAGTGTTCCAATTATCTATGAGTATGTTTTTGCCAAATGATGAGGGTGACCATTAATCAGGTGTCAGGTTATGTCATGTAGCAAATTCATAACTGTTCCAAAAGAGATAATGTCTTTCAGTTCAAAGACAGTTTTCTACACAGCAGTAGCTTAAGATGCACTTATCTCTTTTACTGTGAAAAAATCCAGTGATAGTTCATGGTCAGACTAGTATAATAACTCAGTTTGAGAAGGGGAAGAAGTTTAGCCAAGAAAAAATAAACAGGGAGCAATTATATAACCATTCTTGCCCATTGTTACTACTCCTCAGTTTATTCATTTATGGCATATTTCTAAGAAGTAACTTTGTAATTCATTTTGTAAATTGACAGGTGTCAGATTGCCACTGACAATTGTTTGCAAACAGGATGATAATATGTGACAGCCCAAATGATTAATTTCTTTCGACTCCAGTGTACTGTTTTAGCAGCCTTAGTAACTCATGCTGGAAAATGCATAATCAGTAAATAGCTTCTGAATGCTCTCTCCTTAGTCATCAACTGTTCTATTTACACTAAAATGGATGGATTATTTCTAATAAAAGCACTGTAAATTAATGCCCTTTTGAAAATTTCATAAACTTTATCTTTTAAGGCGAATTATGTAATTTTAAATGATTTCTTTTGTCTTCTTTTGCAGTGTATCATTTTAAATGTATCAATTTACCTTCATTTCCCTTTTCCTTCTAAATAATATTTAACACTTCTTTGTGAGTAAGGTTGGTTTCGCTTTATTTGTATTCCCATGCCTGACTCATAGTAGGTGCTTAGTTTATGTGTGTTGATTGCTGTTTGATTCTCAGCAAGTTTACTTAACTTCTGTACGCTTCAGTTTCTTCAGTTGTAAAATGGGGATAATAATAGCACCTACCTTCCAGGATTGGTGTGAGGATCAAATGAGATAATAATTGTAAAGTGGTTAGCACAATGCCTGGCACGTAGTACATGCTTAATGAATTCTTATTCCCTTCCCCTTCCTTTTCTCTGTCCACTTACATCACCTTTAGGTTTTGGTTTGTTAATTTGTATTGGTGTGCATTTAAAACCAATTTTTAAATTTGTGAGTTACTATTTATGGCAGAAGCTAAAAATATTTGATTGTCTCATTAGTCAATCTTGTATTTAAGCATGTTTTCATTAATTACAATGCTTTCTTGGTCTAAACATATGTTGTGTGATCTCTTATACTTCAGGCAAATATGTCATAAATCATTTCAGAATATGTGATATGGAATTACCAAATCAAATGTTTTTGGGGGATAAAAACCTTTTTTATGTCAGCAAAAGAGATTTTCAGGAACAAATAAACATTCATTGTTGGTAGACATTTCTACATGTTGAAAATAGTTGTTTCATTGCTCGTACCTCCCTAGCTATAGATATGTAACTATACCTGAGAATTGTGCAAATAAAAGCCTTATGCTAAGTCAAATACAACTGCCATATTTATGCAGCCATTAATTTACCTTTACAAAGAACTGCATGGTGGAATGTTGGCGTTTATGTTTTCTCCTACTTATTTTCAGCTGTTAGCCATTATGAGTATGTTTGTGTACTTTTTACTTTGGTATTACAGAAGAAAAGCCAAACTGATTTGTCAGTTTTAACAATTGTATTTTGCATTTTTAATAAAATAAAAGGTGATTTTGATGGCCCATTGTGGGAGCAGAATGTATTTTTTTAAAAACCAAATCATTCATTCAGCTTGGATAAAATAATTTTTTGACATGTACTGTAGAGATACTTTTCTGTTTTTCATAAAAAGGACCTTGGTAATCTTCCTAATGAACTACCAAAATAACAGCCTAAAATCTTGTGTTATGTCAAAGGAAAAAAAAATAATGCTCTACTCTGTAGATGTCTAAAGCAGCCTATTCCTTTCCTCATACCCTTAGAAATTTATCTCCTCAAGATAATTTGAAGTAACATTTATAGGAATCTTAAACAAGGAAGATCATAATGAGATAAAATACAGAATTGGTTTAACATTCTGCAGTAGTCACTACTCAATTCCATCCTTGACCTGCCCCCTCAGGAACTGAGAAGGCTTTCTTTCTGTCATCAACATCTTAACACTGAATGCAAAAGAGGATTCTCCCTCTTCCCTTACTTACGTCTCAGTGCCAGTCACTTTATTGGAAGTGGAAAAGCAATGATCTTACTTAGAGAAGATAAGTTTATCACCTTTGATCCATTTCCTAGTACCTTATACTTTGTTCTATTTACTTTCCTAAAGGGAAAAGTCTGGAAAGGGTTTTAGGGTGGAGAAAATAATAGTTTCTTCTTATTTTCAGTAAAACTAAAGGGAGGTTTTTAATATGGTTCCTCAACTATTTTATAGTATGACCATATTAAAAAGTTATGACTCACTTTCTGATATAAAGATATAGATATTCTTGTATTTTATATAGGCCCATTGTTGTCAGTTCAATATACATTCTTATGTACATTATAGTTATTTTTAAGAGCATTTTTCCATCTCTATGAAATAGCAAAATGGCTACTCTTTGAATGGTTTTCATTATTAAATGATTACTTATTTTGAGGCCTATGTCATCCTGCATAAAAGTCATATTTTAATATTGATTACTTGACAATGAATGGTTGAAATATGCTTTTAGTCATACCTTTGCATCATAATTAATTACACATTTATAAAGTACCTACTATGTTCTATCCCTGTGTTTGCTGCTAAATTTCTTATTATGTTATTATGTATGTTGATAATAGCAATAGCTTTATATAGGTTTGATACTTTACAAAACACTCTGCTCACCACAGTCTTGTGAAATAGGTCATACACACAGTATTATTCCTATTTTACAAATGAAGTTCCTGCAGTGCAGAAAGGCACAGTGACTTGACCAACATCATATGCCAGCTAGAGGCAGAGCTTAGATGGGGAACACTGGGCACTTTCCACTGCCTCATGTTTCTGTATTGGATAATGTTTTAATATTGTGAAATTAACAGTAAATAATGAACATGTTTTTCTGTTTCAGTTTATTGATGGTCGACTGGCAAAACTAAATGCAGGAAGGGGGTTTTCTGATGTATTTGAAGAAGAGATCACTTCAGGTGGCTTCTGTGGAGGTACAGACTAAATTAGAACAATTAACTATTTACTTAAAATTTATTTTTAAATTTTAACTTCTTAAAACTATTTCACAAACACTTAATGACACTAATATTCTGAGAAGAGTATTATTTTATTTCAGCTGGTGTCTAGATTCTGTGATTTTATTAACTGTATGACTTAGAGCATTTAATTTCACTTCTATAAACCTTGGTTTCTGCAAACATTAAATAAGAAAGAGTTATCTCAATGATTTCTGTGATCCCTTTCAACTCTAAATTCCATGTTCTATCATTTGTTTCTTCCCAAAATATTTGTTTAATTGAATTTGTAATGAACTTAATTTTATGAAAAAAAAATTCTGTTAATTAAAAAAACTATACATAATAACAATGGATAGGGCAGCTAGGTAGTGCTAGGCCTGGAGTTAAGAAGACTCCTCTTTGTGAGTTCAAATTTGGCCTTAGACACTTACTAGCTGTGTGATCCTGGCAAGTCATTTAATCCTGTTTGCCTCAGTTTCCTCATCAGTAAAATGAGCTGGAGAAGGAAATGGCAAACCACTCTTTGCCAAGAAAACCCCAAATGAGGTTATGAAGAGTGGGACACAACTGAAATGACTGAATAACAACAGCAATTTTATATGTCTCCTTTAATCTAAGAGTTTAGGGATTACCTATCATAAACTATCAGTGACTCAAAGGATCCTATTTTAGCCAATCATATCAGTCGTCAGGGTTTTTTTTTTTTTTAATGATTTTCAGAACGTTATAGCGGGTTATAGAAGATTTATTAAGCGATACATAATAACATACTGTTCCTTGTTCTTTTGAAAGAACTGCAGCCACAATTTAATAGAAAGTTGAATATTATCCTTGATGAGATTATATATGTAAATAGTTTAATCATCTTGAGGTAAAATGTACCACAGAAGTACAAGTTTCAGTATGTAATAATCACATAGTTGCACAAAACTTTGTTTTCTTTATTCCCTTAAGATGTTCTCTGGGCCATGAAAATGTTGTTGAAATAATGTGACCACTCAGATGACTTTGGCAAATTAATTTAAATCTTGAATGACTTTTCCCCATTACAATTAGAATATTATATTGGCAACATTGAACTTAGAGGGCAAAGTTAGTTTCCTTGACTCAGCAGTGATGAATGTAGTATCATCTTGCCTGTCTAGGCTCATGAGTAAAGATTTAGCTTCAATGGAAATTGTGTGTTAAAATGTGGCTTTTTTACTTTTCAACTCAGACAAGCTGAATATTGTCAGCTCATGGACAAATTGCTGAAGGCATATATTCAGTATTTACATAACTGCTGTCTCATTATCGTTATGACCCGTGGGGCTAAGCAGAGTGTATGGAATCGAAAATGACATCTTGTGACAGTAATAGGGTAGAACTATGATCCTTTTTATAGTTTAATCCTGTCGATTTTATCATTGGTCCACAGTCCTCTGTAATAGATGCTTTCACAGAGGTCACAGAAACTTTTAAATAAAATTACTATTATTGAAATATTTAAAGTATTAACTAATATATGAATTGGGTAAATAGGTGTTTTAAGTGTAATCCAATCTAAAAGAATCTGTTATTCTTTCTAAAAAAGAAAATAATTTTGATTGGGACTTTTATTCAGATTCAGGAAAAAGGAAAATCTGTTCAGCAAGAAATTATTTAAGTGTGTAGGACAAAACATTTTAAATATCATGCCTAAATAATGTCTCCTCTTAAAATGAGTCAAAACAAGTTTAATTGCTATTAGAATTTTTTTTAAACCAAACAATTCAGATAATGAATTCAAGCTTCCTCGACCATTTTAATCTACAAAAATCTGAAGACAAGGGTGCTTTTTTGAGAATCCTTGCTTGTAGTTCCAGAAAGTTCAAGTTTGAAAACTCTGTTAGCCTTCTTATAAGAAAGAGACTATCTTGAAATAGATAAGTAAAGAAGTAATTTCTAAGGTAGTTTAGAGCATTAAGCATAATAGACTTATATAGCAGTTGATTTTATAAATTTCAGTCATTGTTTAAATGGCAATGTTAGACACAGTAGAGGTTGGTATTACAGCTCATATGCTGTAGGCGAGTTAAACTTGTCTTTACATTGATTTTTCCAAGATAAACCATTCATTTAGGAAACAAGGGAAGTAGTAGTTGGGTATCAGACAATATTCTCTGATTTCTTAGGATATTATACCTAAATTTTTAAATTCAAGCAAATTGTTTCTGTGAAAACTAGTACTCGGGATATAAATATTCACTAAATATAAGGAAATAATCAGTTTCTACTAAAGAAATTTTAGAAAATACTACAGAAGCAGCTATTTCTCCTTTTCATCACCTTTGAATATACATTCTTTCATTGTTCCTCATTTAAATGCTCATTTGTCTACCAAAATGCAAATAAAAATAAAATGTAAATAAGTCTTGCTATTATGATTCTGATTGTTTTAATGCACTATTTAATATGACTAGGGAGAAAAGAACTAGATTCATGCTTAAATGTAGAACTACAAAGCCAAAAGCCTCTCTTGGCAAATGTAAGACTTCTCCTCAGTTTAAAAATTGATCACTGGCCTTCTTCTTTATAAGCACTTGTCAAGTCCACTATACACCTCTGTGCCTCATGTGGCCTTAGTTATAAATATCCTGGAGGAAAAACAACTTGGTCATATGTTAATCTCCCTCATGACTCCCAGCATGGTGTCATATACAAGTGTAATTTAAGATATTTATTGAATGGATTTTAGGAATGTACAAATTAAAGAACTCTTGAAAAGTAGATATGATCAAAATTATCTCAGAGAGAAAATAATGGAATGAGGCCTCATTAGAAAGTTGGGAGTGATTAAAAAAGATAGTACACAGACCAAGTGAAAAAACAGTGTGGCTATATAAAAGATTTGACAAGACATCACATTCAGAAAAAGTTATTGTCATATTGTACAATTGGGAACATGTATTTTTTTTCACTTAAAATTAACATTAACATTCTTACTCTTATATCTAAGTGTATTATTAGTTCTTAACTTTAGAATAAAGATATATTTTCAGTTAAATTTCATATACATTTACCTGGTTCCAGATTTATCTATATGACATGTGATTTTTTTTGTCATTATTTTGTTTAGACTAGTGGGTTGTTTTTTCACATTTCATTTATTAACTAATGTGCCAAAATTTGAAGGACTGTAAGCTAATCTTAATGTTTCAATGGCATGTTAGTAGGCTCAAAAACATTTACTAGCACAACTCTCATGAAATTTTTCTAAGTCACGGTTTAGGCAGACACAATTCAAGAAAAATTCATCTTTTCCTTAAACAAGAGCCAAAGATATTTTGTCTTTGAATGTGAATACCATTTTTTGTTAAGATGAACAATGTTAAAAATGTCTACCTAATAACCCTAACAGTGTTTCTAATTTTCATAATAATAAATTGTAATTATCTTAAAATAAGGATTTTGGAAGTGTTTTATTTATACTGAAAATTATAACAATATGTAAATGTATTAATAAATACTGTAATGCTTTTTTAAAATCTGGCTTTATTGGTAAAGAAAGTCACTTATAGCTGCTGACTGCTCTTAGTTTTTCACTATTAGCTAGTAGCTGTCTCTTGTCAAAATGTTAACTGAGTGGCTGGCCATTTTTATCTCTTCCCTTTGTAATACTTTTAGAAAAGACATGTAAGAGAAACTAGATTATGAAGCCTATTGATATCTGTAACCTTAATTTGTATACAACTTTAAGTCACAGGATGTTTAGCATTAGAAGTTATCACATAGTTACCGTCAACAAGCATGTACTTGTGCTTGGTAACAGCTATTTTCTCATTGCTTATAGAATTACTCATTAATTCTAAGTGCTACATGTTCATTTTAAAAGCCTTCTTTGTTTAGTTTTCAAATGAATATTGTTTCTTTTTTTCTTTCTGACAAATTTCAAAAAGAAATATGACAGCTATATGTATTCATTTATGTGAGGTTCATAATAAGTGGTACTGAAAGAAAGCAAAACTTTTGACCATTGCTTGAATGGAACAAAAAATATTCTGAAAGTATTAAAAAAATTATAGAATTTATTTTGATACCCCAGGGCAGGGGTGGGGAACCTTTGACCTCAAGGCCACATGTGGCCCTCTAGATCCTCAAGTGCGGCCCTTTGACTGAATCCAAACTTAACAGAACAAATCACCTTAATAAAAGGATTTGTTCTGTAAAACTTGGACTCAGTCAGAAGGCTACACCCAAGGACCTAGAAGGCCACATGTGGCCTCCAGGCCCACAGGTTCCCCACCCCTGCCCCAGGGTATTCCATTACTACTTTCCTGATACTCTAGATTAATAGAATTTGTCCATTAAAATTCTAGAAATTATGCTCCATGATTGTTTGGATCTAGAATTTGTGGTAAAATATAATTGATGGCTTCTCCTTTTTATATTCCAGGAAACTCAAGATCTTATCAGCAATGGATGCACACAGTCAAGGTAATGTATATTTACCTTTTAAAATGTTTGTGGGATGTTTAAAGGAAAATTAGGGATCAGTTCCATATATCTATGCAATTTGAAATATATAATTTCCTTTCTTTCAGAAGAATTATTTTGCAGATCAAGCACTTGATCATATCTTTTGTTTCCTAATATTTATACAGATAATTTAAAATTAAGTTTTTTATATACATGGAATAAATGCATTTTGAAAAGCATATTATGTCTCTCAGTTTGGCCAAGGAATTCTCTAACTTTGTGATGCTGCATAATCTCATAAATGTGAGTTATATGTGACAATGAGATTTACTAGGAATTTCATCACTGCTAGCAAACTGGTAAATGTTTTTTATAACAGTTCCGCTTTAACCTGACAGAAGACTTCTTGTACAATGTTAAAAGAATTGATAATGGTAGTGTTTATTTCTAGTAAACATTTAAAATATAATAAACAGCTCATTATGCTGCTTAAGTCTATGCTAATATATATCATCTGTGCTGATATATATGTGTGTATACATATGTATATATATATATATCTTGTCTCATTTGTAAGTGAAATATAATTATAAGTTATTTATATTTCAGGTGTATGATTACTCACTGTTTCATGGTCTGTTTGCATTTTTAATTATGATATGTAAATCTGATTTTTTTATATCATGGGTTTTGTTGTTGTTGTTGTTACAGAAGGGAAGTGCATTATTTAATACAGCAGTGACCAAAGCAACCCCTGCCGTACGAACAGCATATAAATTTGTAAGCTCTTTTCATTTCTTAAATTAAAAAAATTAATTGGTAAGTAAAAGACTGGTGGAATAAAAGCTTTTTCCAAATTAGTATTTTAAATATATTTTTACATTAACTAATAAGCAAGTTAACTTTACTAAAATTTTTGTCACAATTGTTTCATCTGATATGATATTTGAAGTTTTTAAGCATAGAGTTTTGGAACTTAACATGATTTCATCCTGGATTGGATTTTTTTACAGACCAGGAAGAAGGTATATGTTTTGTGAATTATCTAGGGTCAAAAACCAGAACCAAAACTAGAACCCAGGTTGTATTCTAATCGTGTTACATTGATTCATATTAGGTATGGTGAAACCTAATAAATTTAAATAAGTTGTGAAGTAATTTTAAGTATTATACCATTTAAAAAATTAACTAATAGTAATATGTAGAAATAGGTAAACAAATAAGTTAATTCTCACAGAAATTTAAAATTCAGTTAAGGCTCATTGTTATAAGAAATTACCCTTGCTTATATTTCTTGCTCCTCCATTGTTTTTCAGTCTAGCTACACTGACCTTCTTGCTGTTCCTTAGACAGGATATTCTAACTCCTATTTCTATGCCTTTACACTGGCTATCCCCCTTCCCTGGGATGATCTTCCTCCTCACCTTTGCCTCATAGTTTTCCTGGCCTCCTTCAAGACTGGCTGATATCATACCTTCTACCAATTGCTAATGCCTTCTCCTCTGAGGTTACCTTTCATCCACTCTGTATCTTATGTGTATCTAGTAATTGACATATTGGTTCCTCCTAGAAGGTGAGAGAAGGAACTGTTTTTTACCTTAAAAAAAAATTCCCAGTGCTTAGTACAGTGCTTACACATAATTAAGCACTTAATAGATTCTTGTTGACTAACTGCCTTAGAAATGTTTCTAGAAGTTTCTTTACCACATGCTTATTCTTCCTTTCTAATTATAGTCATATTTTTATTTGACTCATCATATTGGCTAGAAGGAGACTTTAGCTAATGACATTTTTGGAAATAAATATTTTAATACAGGAAAGGAGAGGGGATAGAAGAGAATAAGCATTTCTATGGTGCCTACTATGTGTCAGGCACTGTGCTAAGCACTTTACAAATATCTCATTTTATCCTCACTACATTCCTGCAAGGTAGGTACTGTGATTGCACCCATTATACAGTTGAGGAAACTGAGACAAACAGAAGTTAAGTGACTTGCCCAGGGTCACACAGCTAGTATGCATCTAAGGTTGAATTCAAACTCAAGTCTACCTGGTCTGTTCTACCTAACTGCATCAAAATCAGGAGCCTAGTTATAAGAGTCCAGGCCAGAAATTTAGAAAGAACCTGTAACTTAGTAGGCATGGGAACTCTTTTCACCAATGTTGATACAACCCTATGATTTAATAGATAAGTCTTAGAAAAACGACTGAGGCAAATAAAAATTAAGTGATTTGCCAAGGTTCATACATGTATTAAGTGTCAGAGGCAAAAGACTCCTATTCTTCAAATACAGTATTTTCTCCATTATACAAGGCTGTCTCTCTTCTGGAAGCAAATTATTTCTCTAACACAAATTACAAAACTTTGGAGAAATTATTCCTAAGCTAGCATCAGTTTCATTATATAAACATACCCAGTGAATGGCCATCCAACTTAAAGATCTCCAGTGGGAGAACCCACTGAGTCACCCCTTTGGGATAGTTTTTTGTTGTTGTTGTTGTTTTGTTTTACCAATGATTTCCTTGATGTAAGGAAACTCCCATTATCAGTATAATCTTACAGAATTACCTGCGATACTGAAGTACCTGAGAAGTTAAGTAGCTTTCCAAATGTCACATAGCTTTTCCTCAAATAAAGCCTAAATTACATTCTTTGCAATTTCCATCCAGTGTTTTTAATTCTAATGTCTACACTCAAGCAAAATAAGCTCAGTTCCACTTCTAAATGGTAGCATGACAGCCTTCAGAATACTTGAATATACCTTTCAGGTTTACCTCTTCTCCCCTGGCTCCCACCAAACATCTCTTCATCGAGCTAAACATGCCTATTTATTTTAACCAATACTTATAGGTAAAGATATCAAGGCTTTTTACTATTCTGATTTTTCTCTACTGAATCCTTTCTAGCTTTTCAGTGTTCTTCCTCAAATATGATATTCATAATTAATCCAAATGTGGTCTGACCGGGGAAGAGTATAGCAGGATTCAGATTTCCATAGTCCTGGATATCATATCTCACAATGTAACCTGAGAATTCTTTTTTTTTTTAAGGTTCCAAAGTTCATTGTTAACTTATAAGAAACTGACAATTCATTAAACCCCCTCCCAGGTCCTTTTTTCATATGAATTGCTCTCTAGCTATGTCTCAGCCTCCCTCATCTTAGACTTGTGAAGTTGAACACTGTAATGATCTGTTCCATAATGAGAATAGTTGGAGAAAGTGAGGTTTCCATATTAGCAGCTTTCCCCTGAAATCAGAAACCATAAGCTAAGCAAAACTACTAGACAGAAGAAAACTCCACATAAAGTCTGAGCAATTGATAGTGAGTAAAGCAGAGTGAGGGTATATTGTACCTCAAAAAAGAAATCTCTCTCACCCAACATCATCTTTGGTTTAGTATTTTTTAAAAAGTAGAGTTTGTGGTATTTATTTAGCAGCCATTCTTTAAAGAAACAACTGATTATCCATATACCTTGTAGGTTGAAAATTTACATCCTACCGTTTTGGGGCTTTGAATAACAGAACAACTAAATATAGATCCAAACTTGAGTAAGAGAAAGCTAAAAATAGATAAGCTGATTCTGTGATAAATTGCAAAAGAAGGGATTTTGGATCATTGCTTTAGTAAGGAAGATTGAATGAAGGTAAATATTTAAAGTATGAAAGGAAGACGGTTAGGCCAAAAGACAGGTAACCAATTTCAGAGAATGAGAATAGACTTGCCTCACTGAAATGGAGATCATAAGCTAAGAAAATACTATTTGAATTGGATCTCTTTATATTCCCTCCTATCTATCTATTTATACTCTTCCCCGAGTGAGGGTAGGGGGAGAGAGTCTACTATGTGTTTACCTTTGCCTAGATGCTCAAATGATTTTGGGATTTTCTTTATGGGGATTTCCTCAAAAACAAGGTAAAGTGATAACAGCTACAGAAAAATTAAAAGACATTCACAGAAAGTTGCCTTCTAAGCATCCTCTGTGCTTTTTAAAAGTTCAAACCAGGACCTGAGGAGTTCTAATACCTAATGTTGATTTCATAGGTATTCTCTAATAAAGCAAGAGGGTAGCTTTTACTTTCTTAATTGTTTTTAATTCTATGCCTACATGGAACATATGCCCTATTCCAATAAAAACCACTAGTCAAATTCTCCACAAGCATGTACAAGCACTTCATTTCTCCTGAGATGAATTTCTTTGCAAGGTGTCAAACAGAAACACTTTTGTAGTCATTTTAAATGTACATTTTCCCCAAATGACCTACCAAATGTTTTTGTATTCTTTTCCCTTCCAACCACTGTTTTTGGGCATCAGTTATCTGACTAGCTCCTAATATATTCTCTCCTGTATGGGAAGTTAAGTATGTTAAAAGTTGTCTTTGCTTGAAATTTATATTCAGATAAAGTAGAACTACTCACATATTAGTCAGTCAGTTAATGAACATTTATTAAACACCTACTCTGTACTTGGCACTAAGCTAAATGCTGAGGATACAAAAAGAAAGTCCTTGACCTGAAGGAGCTCACAATCTAATGAAGCATTATATAAACATACCATACATATATTAACATACTATATCTACCTTGGACAGATATATAAGTTGGACAAATTGTAAGTGTTATATAACATACCTAAAATTTGAGTTTACCATCCATCTACTTAATATATAATTTTCATTGTTTTCTCATGGCTCACTCTTTGAATAGAACTAAAACAGACCCTTTTTTCATCCTCTAGGCAAAGAATCATGCTAAACAAGGAATAAAAGAAGTAAAGAGTAAACTAAAACACAGGGTATGTCATAGAGTTTTACTTTCTTCCAACTTTGCACTTGCATTAGTTTGAAGCTTATACTTTTGCATTATATTATACATATACATTATACATTAGTTTGAAGCTTATACAAATCACAAGAGATTTGTATTTTTAATGACTTTTGAAATATGCTTAGTCCTTTGTTCAGTAACACATTTTTCATAACAAGCCCTCTGGCAACTATCTGTCATTCTATATGCATTTACTGAATAATCTCTTTATTGTTTGCATGTTTTATCATTGAACAACAGAAGTCTTCAAAGTTACTTTAAGGCATGTATGTTTTCATAAAGTTGATTGCCTTGGTATCGTAATAGAAGTTTTTGCTTCAAGCTGAAAGTTTAAAAAGTGAGGGTCTTTAGCTTAGAATTAACTCAGATATTTTTGCATTATGTGGTCTTTATAGTTTTAGTTATGTTAAACTGGGCAATGTTTTCAACTTTCCAAAGGCAGAATTAATTTCAATATATATTCTGAAAAGAGTTTCTCAGATTACTGTGTTCTCTTGAATTTTACTGTGTTTGGAAGGGGAAACACTGTTAATACTGTTTAATATTTTTCTCTTTGATAAGAGATAAAGGTAAACAAATTATGTTTAAAATACAATTTACTTAAATTATTAAATATTTACAAAACTCATTTTGAAAGCTATTAGCTTCATGTAAAAATGAATTTCATTTTTCTACTGGAAAAATCCTATACTTGTCTTTAGCCAGTTGTATAGTATTTTTATTTATTGTAGGTCTTATGTTTTCGACCCTCCTTTTTTTTGGTGAATATGTTAAATAAGTGGTAAAAGTGTCTTTTTTCATAGGAGAATGAAGAAGACTATGGATCTTGCTCTGGTTCTGTACAGTATACACCAGTTTACACATTACACAGTGAAAAAGGTGGGAAGCTAGAGAAGCATAAACTAGCACAGGTAAGACTTAGAATATTTACTTAAAATAAAAAGTAACAAATTTGTCTTCGTTTTTATATTATTTTTGAATTAGTTATTATTCTGTTTTTGACCAGGTAACAAATGTTTCACTTTTATATAGTGCTTCTTATGGTAAAGAAAATGCCAGATTACATACCGTTCTATTTCCTTTATGTGTGCCTTTGTATAGGCCCACCTATGCCTAGAATTTGCTCCATCCTTACTTTTGCTTCTTAGAATATGTGGCTTCCTTTAAACCTCATCTAAAGCACAACTCTTATACGAGCAGTTGCTGCCATCCCTACTTACTAATGCTCCCCCACTACCTTGTAAATATATTTTGTTTTTACGTGGATACATATGTTTCTCCAATTAGCAGGTAAATTTCTTGAGAGCTGAGATTGTTTTGTTTTTGTCTTTCTATCCCTACTGCCAGGCTTAGAACCTGGCACATAGTAGATATTTGATAAATGCATTTTGATTGATTGATTATACATGCTATGTTTAAAAATAAATGTATGTGCATACACACATTTATGGAGAAAATTTTGAGACTAGGGAATACATTCTATAAAAAGACAAAATAGAAACTGTGCACTGAGTCATGACTATAATGTAATCTAATAAGGATAGAAAGGGATTTTAAAGTCCCTTTCCCCCCAAATTCAGTGGGTCTTAAGTTATTAGAAGTAGAGAGAATAGATTTCCTTTCAGGATGACCTAGTCCAGAGGGGTCAAACACACAGTCTGTGACACTTCCAAGTGCCCCAAACTAGATTAAAATGTAATTGGAACATATTGAACAAAATAAATAAAAACACAGGAAAACATAGGTAATGCTCCACTTTAAAACCTAAGTCAGTATGTGACCTGCAGCAATCCTTATGTACAGTGTAGTGGCTTCTATTTCTATTTGAATTTGATGCCACTGATATAGTCTATAATATGGGTCATGGAACCCAAGGTATTAGAAGAAAACTCATGCATGTTAGTAACATTATATTTCACCTCTAGTTTGTTGTCTTTTAGTTCATAAGAAATAAGATAATTGTAATTAATTTTATCTTGGGGATTTTAATTCAGGTGTCCTTTGCTTTCCAAAATAGGTAGTATTTAGATCTGTAAGGGACCTTAAATATTATCTAATCCAAGCTCCTTATTTTATCTTTGAGGAACCTGAGGCTCAGAGAAGATGTTGCTTTCTTAAGCCACACAGAAAATAAAAAACAGAGCTTTGGATTTAAACCCAGTTCTTTGGGCTCTTAATCTGGTGTTCTTTCTATACATCCTACTTCTCTTATCTTTGAGTCATTTTGTTTTTGGAAATGTACTAGGACAAAGTATCTTTTAACGTATCTTAGATTTAATCATAAAATTGTAGGATTTTAGAACTGTATCTTGATTGATCATTTATTCCAAAATTCTCATTTTACACATGAGGAAATGAGACTCAGAATATAAATGACTTGGTAAAAACCATACAGCTATCTAGTTAGGAGTAGAACCAGAACCAGAGCTTGGGTCTTCTAACTTTAAATCCAGTGTGCTTTCCTAAAAACATCAGCCCCAGGGAGAATAGGGGAAAAGGGAAACCTAGCTAGGGAGTATTTATGAAGACCTGTCTAGAGTCATACTGCCTAGATCCTGTGCTCACTGCTGCCAAATCTCTTAGGTATCTTTCCATACATTTCCTTGTCCCTTTCCCTCATGTGATAAGTGAGAGCAGACTAAGGCAGTCTGGTGACTCAGGTCTGAGATTGGAACAAAATGAGACATTTACAGGTTATTTATAGGTTATTTATAGATTATTCAATAACAAAAGGAAGTTTACTTAGCCACAGCTGGAGTAGAACATTCATATTAATCCTTACTAAGATCTCCATTATATTATGAGCTTCTTGAGGGCAAGACTGTCTTTTTTCTTATTTGTATCACCAGCACTTAGCACAGTGCCTGGCATATAGTAGGTGCTTAATAAATGTTTATTGACTAGAGCATGGAAAGTATAGAGCCTTGATTTAGCTGAATGCAGCTCTCCTGTTACAGTTTTAGTTATTTTGGTAATCTTCAGTCAGAAGAATGAGGAAGAAGGTCCAGCCTTCCTGTCTTGGTTGTTTTTGTACTGAAGCAGCCAGAAAACTACAAGGCCAGATCCTTTGTCCCCTGAACCAACTAAATCTTAAAGACAATTTCAATACCTTTCAAGGAAAAATTACCCTAATCTACATGGGCTTTAGGATATTGTTTCCACCACTCCTCCCCCAAGTACCGTGGACTACCTTCCAGGTGGACTTCTTCAGACTGGTCTGAGGAGAAAGAATACTTAAGAAAGTGAATATAAGATACTTAGGGCACAATGGAAGGGCAGGTAGGTGGCACAGTGGATAGAGTATTGGGAATAAAGTCAGGAAGATTCATTTTTGTGAGTTCAAATCTGGCCCCAGACCCTTACTAGTTGTGTGACACTTAACCCTGTTTGCCTTAGTTTCCTCATCTGTGCCAGGCACTGTGCTAAATGCTTTATCATTATTATCTCATTTGATCCTCACAACAACCCTGGCAAGTACGAGCTATCATTATCTCCACTTTACAGATGAGGAAACTGAGCCAGGCAGCGATAAAATGACTTCCTCCGCTAGTAAGCATCTGAGGCTGGATATGAGCTGAGATCTTCCTGATTCCAGGCCCAAAGCTCTGTGCATTGTATCACTTGTTCTCTAATTTATCTGTTCTATAAATCTAGATTTTATGTGCATTGGATTTGATTAAAATAAGGTAGACCTGTAGTGGATGGATCTATGTGATAGTCCTTCAAATAAGTAAGTTATTGAGTGCACAAACATTAACTTCCTCAAGGACAGGAACTATTTCAGTTTTGCTTTTGTATTGGCAGTACATACCAAACTGCCTGGCACACAGTATGTGCTTATTAAATCCTTATTAAATTGTTGTTCACACTCCTAGATCTCTCCCACAGTCTTTCTGTATATAAGGTCCATCTTGTCTCCAGTGCTCAGATTCTTAAAATCTAGCCACTGCTCAGATTCTTATAATCTAGCCAATAGCTCAGTAATGTTCAGATTCCTTAAGAATCTGGCCAATACTGTGGATGTTCTAATAAAAATAAAAAATAAACTGTTGTTGAATAGTATTTACTAACTGATAACTTGGGAACATGATTTTAATTCATTTCTGTGGTTGATCATGTCACTATCAGAATATCATATCTACTTTTAGGGCCTGGGGTGCTCTAACTTTCTATAGTAAATGTATTGTTTTAATTTATGGTATCTGTGTATATTAATTTTCAAATGCCATTTGGATTGTATTCATTCTCTGTAATATGATTAATAAGTTTTTAATTATTTCTTTTAACAAGGCCACTTAAATGTGGGAAAAAAATGTTCTTTGTAACCTCCAAAGGAGTCTAAAATGAAAAGAATTAAATGCAGAGAAATGTGTTAGAAATGGCAAAGAAATAAAAAAATACTACTGTCACTAAAATATCATATACTTATTATCTTATTTCACATTTTTATAACAATGTAAATGTAAAAGCAGATTACTGATTTATGTCTTCTAGTAAGCCCTGCTTTTAAAAAGTGCTGTGATGGAGAAAACAAAATGAGGTTGCATAACACTCTGCAAATTATTTTCTTATACCTAGCCTAAATCTATTTGATGGTTTTCTGTCATGTGTTATCATGATGTAGCTCAAATTGCATCTATTACTAATAAGCAAATTAAAAAGTAACATCCTATTTAAGATTCCACTCTTAGAAAGTCTTACTGTTAAGATATATTTTTTCTGACATGACTCCTAAATTTTCCCCTTTACAACTTCTACCCAGTTTTCCTAGTTCTGACTCCAGAGTCCCAAAATAAGTCTAATCCTTCTAATACATGACAGCTTTTCAACAATTTGTGCAATTCTTATGATCCCTGAGTCTCTTCAACAAGCCAAAGAGCCCCACTTCCATAAGGTGTGGACTTGAGGTCCATCAAGTCACCAGGACAGCTGCATTTTAAGAGTGCCAGCCCTCTCACCCCTATTTCCTTAAAGTTCACATGAAGACCTAGACTTCAGTCACATGATTTACCAGAGATAAACTATATCTACTAAATACCTGGGTAATCTTGGAAGCAGCAATGAAATTGGAGATACATTCTGAGGAACATGGCTGTGATTATAGATAGTGAATTGACTGTTACAAAGTTGATTGAGAAGAAGATTATGATAGCACTAGGAAAAGAACAATATCTTTTCCTACTTCCTCCAGGAGGCCTCTGTTGTTCCTGAACCTTAGCTGACTTAAATTGTTAGATATTGGGTTTACTAAAAATGCTAAATATTGAGCAGGCCAGTGGCAGATACTAGACTAAGTATGTCAGGTCTATTTATATATTACTTTAATGTCTGGCTATTGAAAGATGAGAGCTTAGCATTCTTTATTTTGTCTATCTTATGAAGTTAAAAGTTAGTCTATCTCTCTTTCTTTCTTTTTTGGTGAGGCAATCGGGGTTAAGTGACTTGCCCAGGGTTGCACAGCTAGTGAATGTCAAGTGTCTGAGGCCAAACTTGAACTCATATCCTTCTGACTCCAAGGCCAGAGCTCTGTCCACTGCACCACCTAGCTGCTCCTAAAATTGGTCTACCTCAAAGGTAACCTGGTGTGCTGTAATGACAGTCTTCCATGGCTGGCTTTTGTCTCTTTGCACATAAATAATTAACTGGTAAGAAAATGAGTTTTTTTAAAACAAGTATATTTTGTAGTATTATAAATTTGAGACTCTGGTCTCATCTTCCTTATATGAATCTGACTGAATTAAGAGAATAGCATTGCCTTGTAATAAATGGTGAATGGACGAATACACCAATCTCACTACAGTGTTATCCTTCAGTTTCATGTTGTAGATGCCACCATTAGGAACTTTTGGTAACTAAACTTCGCTAAAGAAAGTCAAGGGTGGGGAACCTGTGGCCTCAAGGCCCCATGTGG